TGACCTTGACTCTTCTCTCCTTTATTCCATACCCTGCCTCTGTGCTTTACTTTCACCACCTTTGGCTTTGACACCCTTCCTTCTGGATCTTCGTGTCACCCTCATATGTTGTAACCTTCACCTAGCATTTGTGTTGCTGTGCATGTGTGCCCCCTTCCACCTTCCCTTCCCCCCAGTTCCAGTTCTGCTGCTTGAACCAGCTGCTGGGCACACACATACCCCGGATGAGAAAATAAAAGGGGTAAGGCATGACAATAATGGGAATTTTCTTTACAGAGATATCTCCAGAAAAGGGGGCGGTACCATGGTCCCCACCCCATTTAAGGAGGGGCAGAGCTGAGTGGCCAGGAGAAGATACATAACAGACAAGGCAGGTGGGACTGGGGGAGGAAGAAGGGGAAGAAAGAGAGCTCTTGCTTCTGCGGTCTGACTTGTAACCCCGGTACTGTTGGGAAGGAGCCCCAGCAGAGACGTTTGGAAGAGACACATGGGTGACAGACACGTGGGGACTGACAGTGGCAGCCTTTATCTTCCTGTGGCAGCTCCTCTGTGCCAGCTTTCTGGGTCCTGCTTCAGAACCCTTTTCCTTTGATTCCCTGTCAAAAGGTGCCACCTTAGACTTGGGGCAAACTGTCAGGCCTCAGTGGTCCCACTTTGGGCTGATCCTGTTTGTCTGGTCATTGACCCACTAGGGGATGGGGAATTTTAGGTGTTCATTGGGAAACGACATCCCTTCCTCTCTTCTGTTTCTCTCTGCACACTAATTCTAGTAAAATTCTTTCACACCAAGAGTCTGCTCTGCCTTTGTGTGCATGGATGATGGCCTGACCCCTTTAGAGCATGCAAGTTTGGGGTTCCCTGGGTACCCCTTGGTCACACACTATTTCACTTTGTCTGGTCCTGAATCCACACAAATGACCATCTGCAACCCCCTTTCCCTGGGCTTCTGCAAAACTTCCCTCCCCCCTGCTCCAACCTGTGCTCCCTGCAATACAAGCACTGCACAGCAGGGGGTGGGCTTCTAACACTACAAATCATATAAATGCCACTCATGGGTCAAAACCCTCCAGTGGGAAATTAGATAATAGAAAATTCTTGACCATGGCCTCTCAGGCTCCGTATAGCCCTCTCTTCCCTCTGCTCACTCGGCCTCAGCCTTCTCACTGGTCTTCTTGCTGTTCCACAAAAACACCAAACTCTTTCCACTTGAAAGCTTTGCACCTGCTCTTTCTTCTCACTGAAATACTGTGCTCCTTGATCTTCACATAACTGATGCCTTCTTGTCATTGAGGTTTCAGGTCAGATGTCACCTCTTTGGAGAGGTTTTCCAGCCACCCAATTGAATGTGTCTCCTAGGCACTCTCTGCACATCCTGTTTTATTTTAATTACATGTTCTTGCTCATTCATATACTGAGCTGTTTACTACCCTCCCTATCACTTGTGTGTGAATTCCAGAAGAGCAGGTGCCTTGTCGGACTTGTTCTCTTTTGAAAGTCAGCAACTAGAACAATGCCCATGAGTGGTACCCAATAAATAACTGTTGATTAATATTAACCTTTGGATGATAGAGTGTATAAGTACTTAGCATATATTAAGTAGGTTAACATACGCAACACATATTTATTTCTTACATCTCATAATGGCCGAGTAAGAGAAATGGTATAATCTCCATTGTGTAAATAAGGAAACAGGTTCAAAGTGTAAGTAGGATGGGGTGTTTGTATTGGATCTCACATGTCGTGGTTCTCTACTGCTGTGTAACAAATTGCCACACACTTAGCAACCTGAAGCAACATTTATTATCTGGCAGTTTCTTTAGGTCAAATGCCCAGGCATTACATTGCTGGGTTCTGTGCTTGAGGTCTCAGAAGGCTACAATCAAGGTGTCAACTGGGCTGCATTTTCATTTGGAAGCTCAGGGAAACATGCATTCCCAACTCTCTTTAATTGTGCACAAGATGAATTGCTTGTTTCCATAGACTTCACGGCAGCTGGCGTCGCCAAAGGCGGCAATGGACAGAGACGCCTTCTCTGCCCCTTTGAGGGCCGGTCTTTCAGGAAGGTCGAGTCTGGTTTCAGGAGCTCACCTAATGAATCCACGTCTACCCAGGATTATCTCCGCGTAGATGCACTAAAAGTCAACTCATTAGGGACCTTTATTCCAGCTGCAAGATCCCTTAATCTTCGCTACATAATGTAGCATAATCAGAGGACTGATTTCCCATCAACTTTGCCATGTTCCATTAGTTAGAACTAAATTTCAGGCCCCAACCACACCTGAGAAGAGGAGGTGGCACAAAGACCACACTGCTTCATGCTAATATACTCCGCGCGGGAGACTGGGAGCAAGGGCCTTTGCAATTTTAAGATACTGCAACAGCCTAAATAAAAAGGAGAAGGAACAGCTCCCAAGGGCAAGAACACTTTGAGCAGAGATTACCCAAAGTGCTGGGCTTGAAAATACAGTGCAAATCACGAGAAATGGCACCTCGCCCGGGATCAAATCTAAGCGAGGGACCCTCGCCCCTCCGTGTGGCCCTCGGGTCTCGATGCAGTCTCTGCCCCTCCCGGCCATCTCATTTTGTCATTGGGAATGGAGACACTCCACTTTAAAGGTAAACTGTTGTCAGATGTGTGCCTTGCCGAAGCAAAAAGATGCCTTTCTATGGGAAGTGAGCAGATTTAAGCAGGCAGCTGCAGTAAAGACACGCTTTTGAAATGCTTTTCTGAGTTTTCTGCTTTGAAGACTAGAAAAAAGGGCACAGCCACGCCTGGAGAGTCCACATGTATTCATTCACTGAACTTCTGCAGAGCACTGCTAGGTGCGGGACCCCAGGAGCCTGGGCGCCAAAGAGGGTTTCTACCTGGGGAGTGCTCAGGTTCGCGGGAGAGACAGATGCACCAGCCAAGTCCGATGGAGCGTGGGAGAGCTCAGGCGTACGGGTGGAGAGCGGTCGCTGCTGCCGTGGTGGAGTTGAGGAAGGGTTTCCCAGAGCACAAGTGGGGTCACCAGAGAAGCTAGGAGCTTCCTTGGCAGGCCAGCAGGGTGGGGCGGAGAGGATGTTCTAATGAAGGCGAATGGCAGGTGGCAAGCGGTGAAGACCTGAGCAGGCCAGGCATTTGCGGGGGTGGGGGGCATTGGTCCAGGGTGAATATGGGGGGCGAGACAGCTGAGGTGAGAACACAGGACAGATTTTTGGCAGTGGTGCAAGCCACGCATGCAAGAGGTAGTGCTGTGAGTGGTAGCCCCATCAGACTCAGTGATGCTGTGACGTGGCCAGTACGTCTTCCTTAAGTGCTGCTTGCTAATATAATTAGCACGGTGCAGCGATGCCAGCCCCCCACCCCAGGTATGTGATGTCTGAGACTTTCTTCTTTTAGGCAAATAAGCAGCAAAAATCCGTGAAACTGCTAAAATGCTACTTTTGCTTTTTGTACTATTTCGACGGAAATTATGCATTTGCTCAACCCTAAATAACCCACACTATAAAGTGGAATAGGTATAAAAATTTCTTTTTCTTCATTTGTAACCCAGTGAAGACCAAAAATATGTATCCCTGTGAACTTATAATTTTGAATGCCCCACAGCAGTAATGCACCCGCTTTCATATAAATATGAACTAGATAGAACTGAGGGAAGGAACTGAAAGCAGCAAGCTCATGCTAGGCCTCCAGACCCTCACCAGGTGATGCCTATGACTTCTCCAGGCTTGGGGGGTCGGGGGCTGCATGCTTGGAGCGTGGATTGCAAGTGACGCTCAATCCGAAACCCAGAGGCCACTTGCCTGGCACATGTGTGGCGTTACTGAGGCGGGAGGGCATGGCAGCAGTGTTGAAAATGAAGTCCTGTTGCACAGCTCCAGCCTGAAAGTCATGCTCCACAAGGACTTTCTTTTCCTTAAATACTGATTCGTCATTGACAGATGAAACTATTAAAAGGTCAGGATTTAGAGCTACTCAGTCTCCCGCGTTGTAGAGGCAGGACAGGCCACAGGGCAGGTTTTCTGACCCAGCAGACCCGGTCAAGGAGGAGTCAGAGTCCTCAGTGGCTTTTGCAGGTCTTTTATTTAGATTTACCAGGCACACGGCAGGCAGGGGTGCTGGGGGGCCGGGAGGCTGGCAGGCCTCCCAGCCCCCAGCAAATCCTCACTCTAGCTGGGCTCTCCGGCCTTCTCTTCTTCTCTCGGCTTCTGCTGGGCCCACGGTGAGGCCGCCCTTAAAAGCCCAGTCTCAGCCCAGGTGAATCCCATCTCCCTAGGCCCACACCCTGCTCCAGGTGCCGCCATCAGGCATGCGTTCAGGACCGCAGGGATCCATCATCCATCCTGATGGCGGGAGGGCAGAAAAGCCTGATACCTCCACCTCACCCTACAGGCATGCTGGCTGTTTTTGTTTGTACATCTGGGTAAGTTCCCTCACGTCCACAATGGGAATGATTGTGCGTGTCCTGAAGTTGCACTAGATGAATTATGTAAGAGCGCATAATACCCGGAGCAAGAGACAGAGGTGGGTCGTACACAACGACCCCGCGGAGGATAACGAGCGCACAGCTCGGGGTGACCCCTGCCTTGGGACGTGCTAGGTACGCATGCGCCATGGGCAGGTCACGGGCCATCTCACGGGGAACACAACGTGAAATGTTCTGGAGATCCTGCCCCTGAGCTGGAAGGGCAGGGAAGGAGCCATCTCCACAGGCTCCATCTTGTACCCCAAAATGCACAGCCTGAAGGTAAAGTCAGTGTGGGGTAAACGAAGACGCTCAGCCTTTTGCACCGCTGGCCTTTGTGGCTCTCACTTGCGGCCTGGAGTGCAGGAGGCGCTTGGGAGCGTGGGCTCGGGGCGCGCGTGCCCAGTGGTGGACACCTGGAGTGTGCTGTGGGCATGCGTGAGTGGGCACACCTGCGCCTGGAGGCCGAGCCCATAAGGGCCGCAGCACAGGGGACAGCGGGCGGCAGAGGACGGTGTGGCGGCGGCGGCAGAGAGCCGCGGAAAGGACAGGATGACGGGCCGACGCCAGAGAGCGCAGAAGAGTAAAGATCCCCCCAGCGCCCCGGCCCGGCCCGCCCTGTACCGGGCCGCCTCGCTACAAATGGTGTACAACGTTGATCAAAAGCCTGAAAAAGCCACTGTGGGCCCCAGGACTCTCCTTAACCCGTCTGCCCGCATCACAGAGCAGGTGCCCGGAGCCTTCCTGCCACGACCGTCTTTTCAGAGAAAAAAACGATTTCACAGTGAGGCCCGGCCGTGGGCTGCTGCCGGGCTGCTCCCGAGGGGAGGCCTGCATCCTGCCTTGCCTTCCTCCAGCACTGGCGCGGCTTTGGATCAGGACGATCTGGAGCTGGAAGCCCCACCTTTCAACAAGAATCACTTTCTTAATGTCAACAACTCACTGTTTCTTGCTATGAAAACTAAATTCAAATGTGCGTTCATTTGGACCAGCTCTCGCAGAGGAAAGCCAACAGGGCCGCTTGAGACTTTATTTTTCAGTTAACAGCTGCCGGCCCAGGAGGGCTGCCCGAGACCCCTGGAGCAGCCCCAGCAGGCCTCCCCACACCTCCAGACTCTGTGAGGGCGAGTTCTTCCTGCTCTGCAAGCTCCCAGCTCCTGGTTGGCAGTACTTGAATTTATCGGATAATTATTCCAGGGTTTTGGGGTGAGCCAGGTTACCTTCTGCTCTCCCAGAGGGGGGGATGGAATTTCAGAATTGCGCTCAGCTTGAGGGCATTATTTTCTGCCTCAAACTGGCATTTTATTCAGGCAGCAAGAGTTTCCCTGAATGGGAAGACTTGGCTGAGGACATCTCAGCCTGGTGTTTGCACACCGAACTAGGAAGGCCGGTCGAGCCTGACGCCCAGGGGAGAGAATCCCAGCTCTGCACGCAGCAGCTGTGGGACCCTGGAAAGTCATTTCACTCGTGCTCGTCGGCGCTTCTCTAAAGGGAGCATGAAAACACCAGCCTTGCCGTGTTCTTGGCGGTTAAAGGAAGCGATGTCTGCAAAATGCTACCCTCATTGTGAGGCACTCTGTCAGGAAGTCATCGTCATCTTCGTCATCGTCATCAAAATGATCATGAGAGATTGAAAGCAGAAAGCTTTCTCACTGCTAAGTCAAGGCGGGCGGGGCTGCGTCCTCCTGCTGTTCGCAAGGGCTGCACTTGTGCAATCTCAGGGCTGAAACGAATGTTTACCCAGAGCCCAAATGCCTGCACTTTCCCCTTCTTGGCGTTGCCTGGCAGAGCCAAGCGCCTCGCCAGGGAAGGGCCATGAGCTGTCCAGAACACAAAACCGACACCCCCAAGTACATCTCGGTGGGGACTGACAGCAAACACGAGGGGTCACCTTACAGAGGGATGCTGTCATCAAGGTCCTCATGGATGACCAGCCTAGACTCCTAGAACTGGCGCTGGGAAAGGTCAAGTGAAGCTTCTGTTTTCCTTGTGGGTTCTGCCACGTCAGCGTGGGCCTGGCTGGTGAGTGGCTCGACTTCTATTTTCTGCTGCCTATTTGACTTTGCTCTTCAATTGCCGAGTGGCACCCCCAGGTTCCTGAGCCAGTGACAATGCTGGACTCACACGCCAGCTCTGTCATTGACCCGTGCGTGTGACTTGGGGCTTGTCACTTAATCTCTCTGAGCCTCAGTTTCCTCCAAAGTAAAATCAAAGCGAGAAGGATTTGTTTATTGATGGGTTGTGGGGATTCCAGGCATTCCTCCTTGTGAGGTGCTCAGGTCGTAGCCTGAGCCCTCCTCTGCACTCAGCAAGTGTTGGCTGTGCTCGCTGCGTGCGTATTTTCCTGTGGGACTTCATCCATCAGCAGTTGCCACCATCTTAGATGTGATGTAAATATTGAGAAACTAAGAGACATTTAAAATCACTTGCCATGGTGACAATGCTTTCATATGGCCTTATACTTGGATGATATTTTAACTTTCTAATCTTTCAATATGTCAATAAATATTGACTGAGTGCCTGTTCTGTTGCAGGCAGCCTTAGCCCTACCGAAGAGGTAGGATCAGTGTAAATATAGCCATCTGATGCAGGGGAGAGCGCGTGTGTTCAGAGGTTAGTGAATTTGCCTCATGTTGCGCTGTTGATAGTAGTTCGGATCTTTTCACGTTCTAGCCAATGTTCGTCCAGATTTAGTCTGCTTCTGTGCCCACTGCCATGGGCCTGGCAACAGGCGAGTGGCTGAGAGTCGGGGGTGTTGCTTCCAGGGATGACACAGTGTGCTGAAGCTGGGGGCTGATGACCAAAAAGGGCGGGAGCCACCGAAACTTAGGGGAGCGTGGGAAATCCAAAGCCCAGGAGGGCAGCGGAGTTCAGAGGCGGGGGATGCAGACAGGTGCAGCAGAGAGCTCTCACCGATGGCCTGGAAGACCTGAGCGCCCTGTGCCAGTGTCAGCTTTGGTGCTGGGACACCTGCAAGCAGAGCTGGCTGCAGGCCCCACGCAAGCGTTCTTGAGATGGTCCTCTGAGTGGCAGTGAATCTTTCTCTTGACAGGGCCTCTGTTGTCTTGATTGCAGTGACTTAGACTGGCCTCATTAAAAATCGATGACGCAAGGTAAGGGCAGGACCCCCAGACAAGCAATGCCTGAAGGGAGTGTGAGTGCGGGCTGCTGGAAACGGGCTGCCTGTGCAGATTGAGGTGGCCTCCTTGATTGTCCCTGACAGCCATGAGGATGGGTTTCACTGATCTGGCCACATTTTCTCCTTAGCTCCCATTGTGTCCAACAGTACCATTTGCCAGATGGTTCGACGGGGTGAGGGGACAGCGTGTGGCTGTGACATGTGACAGAGTGAAGTTAACTGACCCGTGTGGGAATTGGACTGATAGCTTTCATAGAAGGCTTTCAGAATCTCATTTCCTATAAACTATAGAATTAAACAAAAGGTTATGTAAACAGATCCAAACCAATTGACTTTGGAGTAAAGAACAGCATTCATTCTGATTTCTAATCCTCATCAATTTTTTAGACAGATGTCTGGGGTTAAGGGTTCAGACGCAGGCTTAGTTTGAAAATGACAAGGGACTCCAGGAGGACTTGTGTACCTATCAATTGCGAGCTAGTGAGAATATACTGTTGGTCTGAGCAGGCAACTTCAAATGTCAAGAGGTTCGGGAGTAAAGGGCTGAATATCCCCTAAGTCAGAGTCTCCAAATCTCAAGATCCTCAATACGATTGATCTTGATCTCCAGCGCCTCTGCTGAAGAAAATACTGGCTTTAAAAAGCTCCTTGAATTTCTTGAAGTATGACATTCCTCTCCAGGTTGAAAGTTCTTTTCCATTTCTGGACTTCAAATCCATGGAAGTGTAGGAATCAAAGTTAAACATGCTGTCCACGGAAAGTTCAAGTTCCAGGCTTTGCTGCAGCTAAGGAGTCTGTTTTGCCTTTGGTAACTTCCTAGTGGCCCTCCCAAGTATCGGGGCTGCTGGCACCATCGGTGCCATTTTCGGGTTCTCTGTGGTGTCAACCTCCTGCTCGTCCTCGTTCCCCTGTGCTTTTCCCTCCCCGTCTCCCCTCACTCTGCCCCCCCCACCCCCCTTGCAGGGATTTGGAGTGCTGTTAACATTCACCTGCCCTTCCATTTGTGCAAAGACTTTTTTCCTGCTCTCCTTCTCTGCATTGTCTCTGAATCCGGTCTGATTTTTATAGCAAGGCTCCCACCGGCTTTTGGTTGCAGAGTGACCTTGGACTCTCTTGCTGGGGGAGTGCATTCTCTTGCCTTCTAGCTAGTAATTACCGTCAGATGATGTAAACTGCATGGGATACAAATAGAACCAGGAAAGGTAAGATGTGCCTTTTGGTTGAAAATGCTCGCATCATGGGATAATTGGAAAACTGGAGAGGTGGCATATATGTATGTCTGTGATGTGTGTGTCTGCACAACATGCATATGTATATGGATTATGGATGGAAGCATATATCTGTAGTATATCAGAGACTGGGGACAGAGTGCAGCTCCTCCTCGTTCTTGCATTTGGAGACGAGTTTCTTCACACTGCAGTATTCGTTTTGATAACCGTGCAGAGACAGATGGCATTTTGTCCGCCTTCCAGAACAGAGGAATAGTTTGCCGAGCTATAGCTACTATAATGAGAAGCCGTGTAAGTTGAAGCTGAGGTAAAACCAGAGCATCTGTCAGTCCTCGCGTGCCAGATTGGAGATGCTGAAGACAAACTAATATTTCAACAAAAAGTTGAAGCAAGTATAGATTTGTGACCAAAATGATTGCATTTGATAACAATGCCATAGCAGATGTCCTAGAGTTCATGCTTGCTTTTTATTACTGCTCTGTGAGTGTTTTTGGAAGCAAGACCTATCGGCACAGCTTGTATGGCGCATGTTCGTTATAAAATTTTATTTTACAGAAAACAATGAGATGGAAAATTTGTAGCTAATTTGGTCCGTTCCTACTCTATCATGTTTCTTTACTTATTATTTGGGGGAAGAGTCTATTCTCGGTTGATTTATGTTGGTGTTTTCTCGCCTAATGAAAGAGCATCACGTTAATTTGAAATCGAGGGCAAGAAACCCGAATTAATTTTCATTATCTCAGCTCATGTTTTCAGTATGGGCCGCGGGAAGAGGCACCTTCACCTACCCAGTGCCCTCTTTCTCAGCCACTCAGTCTTCCTGGTTTTCTGTTTTCTGTTACTGAGGTCACTTTTGAAAAGCCTTTCTCTTGGGTCCCTGATGAGAAAAGATGTAGGATGTTCTCACTGGCGTCTCTGCCTGGTTAGATTAGCAGTGGATATGTGCTCAAGAAAGCAATTATTTTCAATCCAGATGATGGAAGGTGAAGAATATGGTGAAGAATGTGTTTCCAAGCGTGGGCAGTGCCCGCGTGGCTCCTGTGCTGCGTATGGCGGTGAGAGTGTGCCTCGGCGGGAGAAAGACACGCTCAGAACCAGCTTCCTTGGGGTGCGCGGGTGTGAAGGACAATTATTCTGGGTTTCCGTGGAATGGGAAATAGCTATATAACCTGATTGCCTTTTAACAGATTCTTTATTGGGAGAAGGCAATTATTTTCAAAGGTTGATGAATGTTAATAAAAGGTTACACGTGGTAGTCCAAATGTTATAGCAGTGAGTTTACCGAAAGGAAGATCGTGCAGTCATATACAGGATATTTCCTGTCACAGGAAGTGTGAGCACCAGCCTAGTGCCAGGTCTTG